GAGAGAGAGAGAGAGAGAGAGAGAGAGAGAGAGAGAGAGAGAGAGAGATGGACACACACGACAAGCAGGAGCTGAGCGGTCTAGTCCGACTCCTTGAATGAATGATCAACCGAGCAATGAACTGAACCAACCCAGTGACAAAAAGCCCCCGAGCTGGGCCTACGCCGAATTGATATACCGGCCTAGGTCCAGCTACGGGGAAAGTCAATGGTACCGGACCGGGATCAGGCGGACGGCCTGAAACTGATCCGGCCTAGGTGCTGGACCGCTGCTACATGCAGGCTTTTCTTTCCTTCCAGTAGAAATTTATGGAATTGGCGATCTGAGCTACGTTGGTCGGATATTACTGTATCTTCGTTAAGAATCGTTTGATGGTTAGTATCTCTTGTCTGTCCTGATAGTCGCTCTGCGTGTCAAACCGCACAGCCCTTCTTGAGTGTGAGCGAGTTTGGTATCGCTGTAGAATCAAATCGATCTCTCATTGTCCGTACTTACGTACGTGCGTACGTACGCTGTGACTACCACCACCTGAACAGATTGGTGCAGTGCACAGGTCCCTGCTCTGGGAAATGCAACCTTGTGAATTTCATGGGTGAGTTGGCTTTTGGAGAAGACCGGGGGCTAGGTCCCACTTGCACGAATTAAGAGATACTGACCGTAGATTGCAAAGATCAACGGCCGAAATCTCCTAATTTGCGCAAGTGGGACCTTGCCCCGGGTAGCGTAGGTTTGGGTAGGCAGGGTAAGACCCCTCATTAACGGGGGGGGGCTTTGCGACGTGTACTGCGGGTGAAGATTTGGGCTGGAATGTCGCACAAACTATGGGGGAGCGAAGTATGATGTGCGACCTTTCCAAGGGACAAGTGCGAATGTACCGAGCAAACGCAGGTGCTGGTGAAAGGATGGCAGGGTCGGGAGATTGTGTGTGATTTGCACGCGTTTTCACGGTTCTTTCTTCTTTTTTGCTTTCCCTTTTTCTCAAATCGCGCCCCACACGCTCGCAAGGGATGACGATGTTTTTTTTTTTTTTTTTTTTTTTTTTTTTTTTCGATGTTTTGGCCAGCCCATAGATGATCGATTAATAGCCACAGCAGGTGAAGAGTATCCTAGCTCAAACGCCACGACGACGGTCGAGCCCCCGCCCGGGGGAATCGAAGGCTTGATATCCCGATCGCTGATCGGAGCCCTTGATTGCCGTCAAACGTAGCCATGGCGGTTGTTGGCTCTTCAAGGGTCATCAGGAGGATCATGATCCTTGCGCTGTTGCCGTTGACTGTAATCACGTGCTCATTAGCGTTGACGTCATCATCATCAGAACAGCCTGTCCGGTTGGCCCGGAGAATGTCGGATTTGCCTGTGGGTCCTGTGCTCTGCCACGGACCTGTCGACAGGGATTTGCGCCACGTGGCACGGCATCAAGAGAGGGACCGAGTTGAAACGCAGCAGAGGTCGATGATGAGTCAAACCACTGTTCGGGTAATCGACAGCAATTTTCTGACGGTTAAAGCTGAGTATGAGGTCAGTTTCACTCACCCCCAGAACTTCACCCCCTTGGCAATGATGAGCGATGGGATCGCAGACTTGGCCTTATCTCCCAAGGATAAGGCACTGTTCATTCTACAGGATAACGCGGTTTTGAGGATGAGCACGAACCAGACGTCGGGCGCTAGAGAGAACGCGACTTTCGTGGCGGGATTGCCGAGTACCGGATTCAATTTTGGCCATGCGCTGGCGCTGGAAGATCGTGACGTGGAAGGCGGAGAAGCAGAAGCAGGAGGGCTCGCCAATGGCGACACGTGGCCGACAAGAATACTGCACGTGGCGGATAATGAGGAGATACTCCGTGCATTTTCCGTTGACTACAACGGAAGCTCGCTGACCCATCGGCAGCTATATTCTCTCAATTACACCACTATAACGGGCGGTCGTGTTATCACCAGCATGGCGATCGACTCCCCTCGGAGAATGCTGTACGCCTCTGCAGGCTCGGCAATTTACCGCGCCAACTTGACTTACACCCCAGGGGGAGGGGGAGGGGGAGGGGGAGGGGAAGCGGGAGGGGAAGCGGGAGCATACTCAACTCTAGAGCACTGGATTGGTGCTAAGGAGTTCAATTCTAGCGCCGCGGACAATTTCGTAGACAGTGACGACCCCCTTCAAGTGCGATTCGGTTTTGCCAGCTTGCACGCGTCCGGCTTCTCCCCCGATGGAGAAACCCTTTACTTCGTTGATTCAACCAACGCGAGTGTGCTCCGGATGCGAACGAGCACAGGCGCCGTGGATCGCATAGTCGAAGATGCGCCGGTTTCACGCCCCCGGCACGTGGCAGTCACGCAGGACGGCTGCCATTTGTTCGTCTTGGAAGGTGGGGGTACGGCGCCTGCCGGGCTCGGACTCATTACCTTAGATTCCACGGGGGGGGGAGAGGATGGGAGCGAAGTTCAACCCGGGATAGTGGCACTGGGAGGATATGCCAGGCAGAGAAGGCATTTCCCGTTGGCCATTTCTCCAGAGAGTGATGTGTTGTACGTCGCTGTGTTGTCGGAGATTGTAGAGCTGAAGATTAACAAATCGCCTCTGCGTCCTTGTGCCGTGATAGCTCCGCCGCCGTCGACGTTCCCGCCCGTTCTGCTCGTGTCCTCCTCGCGGAGCTCCGTGCGTACAATCGTCATCGCAAGCGTAGGGGTGGTGGTGCTGCTGCTGCTTGTAGCCTTATGCGTGGTGGTTTTCGTCGTTATCCCACGGCGAAGAGGACGATTCGCAGACAATCAGGGGTCCGTTCGGCTGATAGCTGATCCCGAGTATATGGAGGGGTCGGTGGAGGCGGGAAAACCACCCTTGATCCTGCGGCCGACTTGGGGGTTGAAGAGGTATTCACTGGAGGAGATCAGCAGAGCGTGCGAGGGTTTCAGCCAGGAGCGTCTGGTGGGAAAGGGAGGTGCTGCGGAGGTGTACAAGGGAGTGCTCGGCGATGGCCAGGTGGTGGCCGTCAAGATGATGAAGGGTGCGGAGTTCTTGAAGGCGACGAGGTTCCGCCAGTTCCAAGCCGAGATGGACGTGCTCGGATCACTCCGCCATAGCCAGATCTGTTCCATTGTGGGATACTGTGCGGAGAAGGGGAAGTCGTTTCTCGTCTACCCGTTCGTGGAGGGAGGAACGCTCCACGACCGCCTGCGATCACATGGGTGCGCCAATAGTAGGGGGCAAGCTGTCGACGTGCCAAAGGACACCATCCCCCCCGATGATGGTGGCAGCACTCTCCCCCGCCAGAAGCCGACCCTGGACTGGAAGACCCGGCTGTCCGTCGCTCGGCAAATCGCAAGTGCTCTGCGATACCTGCACCACCAGGTGGATCCTCCCGTCGTGCATCGGGATCTGAAAACCACGAACGTGTTGCTGGAGGACCACGGCGAGGGAGATCGGACGTCAGTCAGGGCTTACCTGTCCGACTTCGGGCTGGCGAAGGTCGGGCAGAGCGTTTTCGGCGCGCAGCCGGCGGGGGAAACAGTGGAGACGTTCCACGTGGCGGGAACCAGAGGGTACATGGCGCCGGAGTACTACAGCTCGTGCAGGCTGACGGCCAAGAACGACGTGTACGCGTTCGGAGTGCTGCTGCTGGAGCTAATCACCGGTCGGCCGGCGTTCATGTCTGGCTCTCGCCAACAGGCTGAGCAGGGGAAGAAGGAGGAGGAGGAGAACGAGAGGGAGGGGAAAGAGCAGGAGAGTAAATCGACGGAGTCGTCGGACTTCCAGGACTCGGTGGAGGAGGAGGAGGGGGGGAAGGGGGTGAAGGACTGGGAGTCAGCTCCCCAAACTCTGGCACGCTGGGCAAAGCGAAAACTCCGGGCGATGGAAGGCATCAATCTAGAGGATGAAGACGACGACGATAAGCCGCTAAGAACGTCGACAGCAAGCGCGACAGTCATCCGTAGCACGGGTATGAAAGCTGCCATCATGCAAATTGACAGGATCCGAGAGATTGCAGATCCACGGCTGGTAACCCTCGGCCCCGTGGACTGGAGTAGCGTTCGCGAGATGACGGAGCTTGCAATGGAGTGTATTTTAACCGATCCCAGAAGGCGACCGCAGATTGGGGTTGTTCTGAATAGACTGGTTCAATTAGAGCAGTCGATATGCTCACGCGAGCTGGAGACAGGTTGAAAACCCACTTTTTTTTTTTTTTTTTTTTTTTTTTAAGATTGAACTCACTCATGTCAAGTTTGAGGATGAAGATAATTTCTCACATTATTGATGGAAAAAAAAAACAAAAAAAAAAGGCAAACGAAGCCCTCGGGCCTTATGCCATTGCAAATTTGAGGCCTGGTTTACGATCGTTCGAAATGCGAGCGAGACCAACGATGCAGGAGTACGCTACCTTTCTTTCTTTTTTCTTTTTTTTTCCGTTTCCTTTTTTTGTTGTTGCAAGCACCTGCAGGTCGGGAGCAGCCCCCGCATGTTCTCTCGTGAACACGGTTCTGGCTGCTACGGGGTTCCCCGTATGCCTACAATTAGTAGTGGTGCTAGGTAGGTAGTGTGCTGTCTCTTATACACATCTAGATGTGTATAAGAGACAGGCCCTGGCCCGCGCCTTTTCCCGCCCGTTGCCCTCTCCTTGCTCCGCTCCTTTCCCCAATCGCGTCTGGCCCCGCTCCCGATCGCGCTCCCTGTCCCCCCCCCCTCGTACCCATTTCCCCCCGCCCCTCCGACCTCCATTCCGCTCCACCCCTGTCTCTTATACACATCTAGATGTGTATAAGAGACAGCATCTGCAGAATGCAAATGGTGGGAGCTCACTGCAGCGTTGGAGGTAGGTTGTTCCCCCCCCTTCCCGCCCTATTCAAGGAAACAAAAACAAGTTGAACACCAAAAAAAGGTTTTCCCGGTTCATTTTCAACGGGTGCCTGCCGACCCTGGCTCCAATTTGCAAGAGCTGTTGCCACTTTGGGGGCTGCAGGGATGCTAAATGGTGCCCTGCTGATGGTCCCCGTCACCCAACTTCGTGCACCTGGCACGCGTTGTCACCCACCAGCGAAGGCGGATTTGGGAGTAATGTGCACTGCCATTCCAAAGGACATCCGCGTACTTTGGTGGTCCAAAAGGAGGGTACTACCGCTTCCTGTTTCCAAAAATACACCTTTTCCAAGCTTTTTCCACACTCTCCCATGGGGTCTCGCCTTTCTGCAGGACAAGCTTTTGGATGGCCCTCGATCGGATATCCAAGATTAGCCGCTTTTCCAAGATGTTTCCAGTGGGGTCCACCCCTAAGGCTACATTTCGTGAATGTTGGAATGAGGCCATCTGTCTGCTTCACAGGGGAAGTGCGCAGAGCCTGCTCCACCACTCCCCAAATGTCAGAATTTGACCAAACAATGGCCACAGTCTATCTGTTCTTTCTTCTAACACTCACTGCGCTCACCAGTTTTCACATTTGGTAAGAAGTGCAGAGGTCCAAGCCGCCTTGCTGTTCTACCGTCTTATTACAGTACTCTCCCACAGGTCAGGGAGTGTTCACACAAGGACTTTTCTGGATGTATCTGCCCTCAATTATAGCGGCCCGTGGATGTATCTGGAGGCCCAGAGCTGAGCAGAAAAGGTCCTAGTATGGCCACAGTGATTCATTCCCGCAGAATGGTTCTGGTGTGAGGATGCCTTTAGTGATTTGTAGCCGCACCCACTCACCACACCTGTTAGTGATTCCTCGCCACACCGACTCACCCGAACCTTTAGACGAAGCTCAATGTTTGAGAGCATCGTGAAACAGGGTGGGATAAGTACTCACCTCCAAACAGAGGTTTCTCACTTGCCAAACAGCAGCGTGGTGGGACCTTTCTATCTCCACAGTGTGTGCCGTGGGGAGGTGATCTGTCTCAAGGCCATTTAGCAAAAAACAACTCAACGATGGAGAAGCTGACATAGTGGGGTTGTTCCACACCACCTGGAAACCCTTGGGTAGACAAAAGAACTTGGTAACCGTTTCGTTTGATTGAAATGGCTGCACTGGAAAAACGTTTCATTTGGCGAGTGAGGTGGTGAGCCCCTGTCTGTTTGGTGAGCAGTGTGGCTGAGTTTCTGCCCTCGAAACTCAAGGCACCTCTGGGAGCTCCCTTGAGTTCATTGGGGCTTTTGCCCCCCCCCGTGACTTTAAAGGGCCAGCCCTCAAAACAAAAAAATGTGAAAATGCTTGCGGCCCTTACTAGGAAGGCCCTGGGGTGGAAAGATGCTTACCTGAGTTCAGAGGGTTTCAATTGCTATGGACAAAGGAAGAGATGCACATGTAAGTAAGACGGCGGAGAGATGTCTGTTATCCTCCATGTGTCATCCGCAGTTGGCCCATCTCCCAGTACGAGATGCTCCGTTGAGCCTTCATCTTCCCCATCCTTTTTCTAAGAAATGGACTGGCTGGTCGACCTCCAGAACTGGCGCCTCTGGGTCGAGGAGACCCTCACCTGTTTTACGGTGGATGAAGGGTTGTTGCTGCTTGATTGACAGTCGATCGTCATAATGCCAAAAGAGCGTTTCAGCAGAAGAGGAGGTTGTCAAGAATACCGTTTGCAAACCTCTCATCCTCGCAGGTATGCTGGCAAATATAAAGTTGCAGAAATACCCTTTTTCGAAGGTTTCTGTGCAGATTTACCAGCCGGTACCTGCTTTCGTAACGGGGGTCCCATCGGCCTGGCCTGAGGCAGGGCTCCAAGGCCCACGAGTCCTCTGTTGCCAAACCAGGTGACCGTACTGCGGGGTATATTTGCCACTGAAACGTCACGGACTGGTATTTCTGCACAGATGACACCTCAAAAGAGGCTGGGCTGCTCGCGAACGTGTTTGTTTGTCACCATACCTGGGCGGACCGGGGTAAAGTTGCTACGATACGTGTGCAAACGGGTATTTCTGCAATTTGCCATTCACACACACACACACACACACACACACACATACACACAGTCCTTATCCATCATTCAAATGCATCCTGGGCAGACTGTCGGGGTTCAACCTCCTGGGGCTAGGTCCCACTTGCACGAATTAAGAGATAGAGACCGTAGATAGCCGAGATCGACGGCCGAAATCTCCTAATCCGTGCAAGTGGGACCTTGCCCCTGATGAGTGGGTGAAAGTCCGACGAAACAGTCTGGTACAGTCATGCTTTTTTTGTTTTTGAGTGTATAGCGAATATGACAACGCACACAGAGCGAGAGAGAGAGGACAATTCTCTGTACGACCTCACTTTTGCGGGTTTCCAACGAGTTCAAAATGCTGTCGACGAGAGCTGGATAGTTTTTTTTTTTACAGATAGTTTTTTTTTCCCCTCTCTCTTTTTTTTTCAAATGTGCCGAGCCCTATTGTGCGTGCGGACACGCGTACATGTGCGTATTTGGCCGCGCGTGTGTATTATGCATGTGCTCGGCAGAACATCAAAAGACAAGCTGACTCTATGCGTGTGAGTTTGTGAGAGACAGGTAGTGGGGGAGCAACAAAGGAGGGGCCCCCTTTGTGAGGGCGGTGGTGGTGGTCGAAGCGCGGGAGAATGAGCGGACGCAGGCTCTGGTGATCGTGGTTTGGATAATCATTGCAAGCAAGCGAGCGAGCAAAGCAAAAAGCGCGCCGAAAATCTTCAGGCCGAAAATCTTCAGGGAGGCAAGTCGGGAACAGCTCCGTAAAGATGATTTGAGTTTGTGCGCACCGCTGCTGTCGCTGCTTTCGCTGGGATCGTTCATCTCTGCGTCTAGTCATTTCGCACCTTTAGGAGCCGCTTTCGTGGATGAATGGTTGAACTATGTGACGATGGCAAACGGCTTGGTCGCTACGCAGATTTCAACCAGAATGTTCCCATGGCTCTCTGTAGAATTGATTGATTGATAATTCAGTGGTCCGTCACGTCGTCCTTGCGTTCGCCAATCTAATCTTCCCCACAGCAGACTGATCATTCCATTCAGCTGCACTCACTTCGAGCAACCAACCGTACATTGGTTGTTGAGTTCGTGAGTAGGTGAGTAAGGTGGAGGGAGATACGAATAGTAACGTGTGAGGACTCATGAGTGGTTCAATCCTGGGTGCGGTGTGATGCACGTGCGGGGGGGGCGAGAGAGAGAGAGAGAGAGAGAGAGAGAGAGAGAGAGAGAGAGAGAGAGAGAGAGAGAGAGAGAGAGAGAGAGAGAGAGAGAGAGA